TTCATCCGCATTGTAATTCTTTCTGCATCCATGTAGGAAGTTAAGAGTCCAGTTAGCTCGCTGGGAAATTTTTTTAAAGAGAAATTTGTTTTTTAAGAAAGATTTTCTAAACTTGTATTCAGATTTTTAAAGGGATATTTGTGTACGCATTCGCCTTTTTTGGGAGGGGAGTCTTCTTTGGGTAATGAAATCAAAACTTTCCCTCTCGCAAGTTGACATTTCGGGGGAAATTGAGTTATCAAGGCAGTAATTATTTCACAAGGAGATAAAAAATTCTTCCTAGCCCCCAACTGTCAAACAGAAGAGACTCTTTTCAGAGTTTTCTCTTTCCCCCCCTCTCCCCTTCAAATTACACATTTTTAAAGGGGGGGGCAGGGCAGAGCTCTCCCTAGCCAAAGAGCCCGTGAGTGGTTAAACAGAGCCCTCCCCCCGCCCCCACCCCAATACTGGTGGTCGTCAAACTCTGCTAATTAACAATGCTGAGAAATTCCATCTTAACAAGGACATTCTCTGAGTCTCCGCCGGTTCCCTGCCGCTCGCCTTCATTTCCATAAGAAGATTAGAAGTGCAGGGGAACACACTCAAATGCAGATGTAGAAAAGAAGGGTTTTTAACGAGCATCATAATAGTAAGATGCTTGGCTAGTTCCCGCCTAATTGCTGCAAGTTAAACCTCTATTTGCAGCGAAGGACCCCCCTAAAAAGGGGGGGGGAGGTTGCAGTCTTTCCATCTCCCCCAAACTGCTCGCTAAGTTTGAAGACTGGAGTTGGGGAAAACGAGAGAGAGACAGAGAGAGAAGGGTACCTCCTCTTCCAACACCCTCATACACACACACCCTTTTTTTATTTGGGCGGGGGACAGGCGAGAATGTGTGCTCCCCAGGGTTTTTCTAAACCGAGTAGTAGTTTAGATCGGAAAGCAAATAAAGACGACTCCAACCTTCAGCTCCCCCTCAAAAGCTCGCTCTCTCTGTCTGTCTTTTTTCCTTTATTGTCCATCACTGGAAAATACTGGAGGGAAACACTGCCTGTTTCGTTGCCATAAATGCCGTCCGTGGCGACGAATGTGCAAATAATCCAGATTAAAACGTCGCTCTCCGGGTTTCCTTTTCCATCATGCCCATCATCATGCACATATCCTGCCCTTGGAGGAGGGGGAAGGGGATTGGAGCGGCGGGGGGTGGGGTGGGGGGAGAGCCGTTAGCTGGACGAGGGCGCTAGGAGAGTGGTCGAGTAGATCTCTCCGCGGGAACTGAGGTTGCTTCCGAGAGAAGCCAAGATCTCTCGACCCATACCTAAGGCCTGGAAAGAAAAAGACTCTGATTTGGTGGTGGGGAGAGAGCCTGGAAAGCGCTATCGCTCCTATCTTATTTTTCTATAGCGCATTATTATGTATGTATGCCGGCGACAGTTCACTGCACTGATAAGGAAAACACGGCTAATTAAAATAAAGCGGTAAATACTCGTGATAACCCAATTGTTAGGTAGCTTCATACCTTATTTAGATGATAAATGCAATTAACAAAGAGCCAAACCAGCCACTTTAACCTCTTAACTGTGTTATTATAGAGCTCAGTGCCAATAATAGGCATCTAGTTATGGAGGTGGGGGGGGGATCTTCACGCAGCCTCCCCCTTCCTCCCCAATCCACACCGGATTACTACAGAGTTCCTTTAAAAAAATTATACCCACCAACCATCAGTGAGCATTGTATTCACACAGACCAAATGACTGCCTTTCAAACCCGCCCCTTTTCTTCGAACTTAATTATCCATAAGATTTTCTCTCTCTCTCTCTTAAGGACGTGATCAAGTATTTATGCTAAAGGGACAACAACAGCCAAGTTAACGTCGGCGTCTGGACCGTTACGTCTGCGTGGTGGGGGAGGGATTCTCTTTCCTTCTGCGTAAGGGCCCCGATCCTCGGTGTGACGCCAGTCAGCCGTAGCAAGAAGGCTGCGTTTCAGATCAGCCGTTGGGAGGATCGCAGCCCGCAGATTTCTTTTTCCTGATCCCTAGATCTCAGTGAGGGCTAACCGGTTTCCTAATAGCGACCCCGTTGAACAAGCTTTCTGTTGATGGAGATAACCAGCGAGGCGCATCGGCCTAATAGTAGCGATAATATATTTTCAACTGTCCAAACACCACACGGTCACTTTTGCAATTGTTGTTATTGTTTGGGGAAGAGGGGAACCCTGTTAACGAAGCGTTCTGTTCACACAGTAAAAAGGGAGAGGTGTTTTCGGAGGGGGGAAGCGGATTGACCAGTAGGGGGCGCACCAACCCCATTCGTAAATCCCCCGGTTCTCAACCAGGGCGCCCTTTCAGCCCTCGCTCCCGATCGTTTGTGTTGCAGATTCATTTTCCCAGCTTTAAAAAAAAAGATCTCAGACCCAGTGACGATTTTTTAAAAAGCGGTTTAACCTTTGTTTAAGAAACGGATTTCGCCTGCCCCGCCGAACTCAAGAAAATAACACTAAGAAATGAAGTTTGCTAAGAGAACTGCTTTTTGAAGTTGACGCAAACTTTTAAAAGGGCAAGAAACAAACGAGGACTCTCATTATTCTGAGGGCTACCCCCCCTCCCCCAAGCAAATGCAACTAAGTGGGTTTTCTTGGCGTGGTCTGAAAGGAGTCTCCCCACCACCCCCCACGCAGAAATGGGGGAAAGCGAAGGGAGGACGAGGGGGGGGGGACTGGGGGGGATCAGGAAATCATCGGTTCTTCCTGCCCCGAGCAGCCGGGAGAGCCGGAGGTGCGTCTCCGGAGAGAAATCGCGGCGTTCAGGGAGTGGGGAGGGGGGAACTGGAGGAGCGGAGGGAGTCCTGAGTGCTGAAGCGTTTTAGAAAGCAGAAATGGCGGGGGGGGTGTGTGGAGGGAGGAGATCGCTCTGCCTGCCTGCCTGCCTGCCTGCCTGCCTGTCTTTGTACTCGAGCGCGTTTTGCAACAAAGATCCCAACAAGAGCCTTCCCAAGTAAACTTCGCCGGCGTTTTGTTTAGCTGCGTGCAAGCGACAGCAAGGCTAACAGAACGAGCTATTTGAGTAACTCCTGTGCCCCCACCTCGCCAGCGCCGAGGATCTCACCTCTGGAACTACTCCCCCCCAAAAGTGGACCGGGGCGCGCGCGCGTTCTCTGGTCTGCCTCCAAATTCCCCTCCAAAATCCAGGCTGCACCTCTTCCCCTCTTCCCCTCTCTTCCTCTGTCGCCTCTCGCCCACCTCTTCCTCCTCCTGAGCTTTCCTAGCCACTCTGGCGTGTGAGAAAGGAGGGCCTGGCTTTTCAAAACTGCCGAAAGGAGCGTGGGGGGGGGGGAATGCGCGGTGCATCGAGGTGTCAAGATGGTCTTCCTTATGGGTCAGGTATTCTCTCATTTGGAGGAGAGGAGGGGGGGAGAATCCACGCGAGCTGGGAAAGGGCGTTTGTTGGTTTCAGGTGGGATTCTCTGGTTGGAAGTAGGGTGTTCTTTCAGGCGAGATTCTCTGGTTTGGAGTAGGCTGAAGAGGACGGAGGCGATCAGATGTTTGGCTGGGGGAGGGGAACTCGAGAGGCCAGCTCGGCGTGGTTGTCAGGCGGGCAAGTGGGGGGGGGAGGGGCGCCAACAGCCTAGAGGGAACTTGGCGTCGGTCAGCCAAAGAAAGCAGAAGCCATCTCCTCGTTACTCGGAAGTAAACCCCGTGGGTCACAAGGGGACAGACGACTTTAGGGCTGCCACATAAGGCCTATTTGCATGGGTTGCAGCTTGAATCCTGAATAGCGTTGCTGAATCCCCTCTACGGAGCCTGCCTTCAAGTCATTGCGCCCAGGATCGCAGGCTTGGAGGTCAACAGGGCGAAGCAGGCCCCGTTCTGGCGCTCAAGTGGCTTGCGGACCGCGCTTTCCCCGCCCTGCCCTTCGCGCTTTCCCCGCCCTGCTTGGCTCCTCCGCACAGTAATCTGTTGGGAAGGCAGGGCCCCCGTGTGCCACAAGCCTCGTTGCCAGGTGAACAGAGGTGCGGAGCCAGCAGGGGCTGAGGGAAACCGTAGTCGCCTGACGACTGGGTGACTAGGAAATCTTGCGGATCGAGGCCTGAGGGAGGGCCCTTCCGGGCTTCCCGTGCAGAGATCTTTCTGCGGAAGGAACTATTATGAAACGATTTCGAGCAGCACACTGGAGTGGGGGAGAGGGAGACAAGACTCTGCCCTCCTTGGATTCGTGGCGGTTTGCGCTCCGGGAGGATAGGAAAGAGGCGCCACCGGAGAAACCCATCGAGGCCGCTGGAAAAGGAAGTGAGACTGGAGCAGATCTCCCCGCCTGCCGTCGAGTCCCCGAAAAAGAAGCCGTCAGAAGAGCGGGGGGGGGGTTCCTCTCCTCTCTCTCTCTCTTCCAGCCCCTCTCTTGGGGGGGGGAACTGGCACCCCCCCCCATTCACCTTAAGTCAACCTCAGGCCGTGGCAAGAGCGAGTCTTTTTTTCAAGGGGGGGGTTGTTGGCGGCGTTGTTTTGTGTGTGTGTTTTTAACGTCGCACACAAGGCTGTTTACACACTTCCTCCCCAAGGCGTGGACGACCTGTTGCTCGTGAGAGGCGCTCCGAAGGGCCCTTGGAGTGGCTGCCTCCGAGACCCGCCCCCTCCCTCCCCTTCTCCCCTCCCTCCCTCGCGCGCCCCCCCCCTCCCTCCCCTTCCCCCCTCCCCCCCCCGCGCGCCCGCCAGCTTCCCCAAGCCGAGCCGTCCCGGCTGGCGTGTCGGAGGCCCCGCCCCCTTTCATGCAAAACTGGCAGCCGAGGCCGGTGCTCAGTGGAGGAGCCGGCGGGCGCTGATTGGCCGGGGCAAACGCATTTATTCCCTGACAAGCCCCCCATCACATGGATGGTTGTCTATTAACTTGTTCAAAAAAGTATCAGGAGTTGTCAAGGCAGAGAGAGAGAGAGAGAGAAAGACAGAGAGGGAGCGAGAGAGGGAGTGAGTGAGTGTGTGTGTGTTTGGGGGCTAAAAAAACAAAAAAAAGGGGAGAAAAGAAAGGGGGGGAGAGAGAAGGGACTTTGGCTGCCTCTTTGAGACCGAGCGATCCGGAGAGAGAGAAGGGGGCAAAAGAGAGGAGGGGAGCGAAAAGAAAAGAAAGGAGCGAGAAGAAAAGAAGTTTTCTCAATCGCGCCTCTCCAAGCCGTCTTTGTTATGAGTCTCCTCGCAGCCTCGCCCGAGAGAGGAGGAAGATCCCGGTCCTGATCCGAGCGCGGGCGGTGCTCGTCGGGGGGGCGCGCTCCCCTCCCTTCCCCCGCCCGGAGACGTCGAGTCCGGCTCGGGACGCCCGCTCGCCTCTTCTGTCCCCCCGCGGCCGGCCGGCCGCCTCGCCTCGCCTCTCCTCCCGGCGGCGCGCCCGGGGGAGCACCTCGCCGGTCCCGAAGAGCCTCCGGAGAGCTGCCCTTCCGCCCCCCTCCCGCGCGAGAGCCCCCCGAGCCGGCCGCGTGAATGTACAACATGATGGAGAGCGAGCTGAAGCCTCCCGCCCCGCAGGCGACGCCGGGGGGAGGCCCGGGGGGGAACGGCGCCTCGGGGGCGGCCAACCCGAAGAACAGCCCGGACCGGGTCAAGCGGCCGATGAACGCCTTCATGGTGTGGTCGCGGGGCCAGCGGCGCAAGATGGCCCAGGAGAACCCCAAGATGCACAACTCGGAGATCTCCAAGCGCCTGGGCGCCGAGTGGAAGCTGCTCTCCGAGGCCGAGAAGCGGCCCTTCATCGACGAGGCCAAGCGGCTCCGCGCCCTGCACATGAAGGAGCACCCGGATTACAAATACCGGCCGCGGCGGAAAACCAAGACGCTGATGAAGAAGGATAAGTACACCCTGCCGGGGGGCCTGCTGGCGCCGGGCTCCAACTCCATGGCCGGCGGCGTGGGCGTCGGGGCGGCGCTGGGCGCGGCCGGGGTCAACCAGCGCATGGACAGCTACGCGCACATGAACGGCTGGGCCAACGGCGGCTACGGCATGATGCAGGAGCAGCTGGCCTACCCGCAGCACCCGGGCCTCAACGCCCACAACGCCGCCGCCGCGGCCGCCGCCGCCGCCGCCCAGATGCAGCCCATGCACCGCTACGACGTGGGCGCCCTCCAGTACAACTCCATGCCGGCCTCGCAGACGTACATGAACGGCTCGCCCACCTACAGCGGCATGGCCTACTCGCAGCAGGGCGCCGGCCCGGCCATGGCCCTCGGCTCCATGGGCGGCTCGGCCGTCAAGACCGAGGCCAGCGCCAGCCCGCCCGTCGTCACCTCCTCGTCCCACTCGCGGGCCCCCTGCCAGGGCGGGGACCTGCGGGACATGATCAGCATGTACCTCCCCGCGGCCGAGGTGGCCGAGCCCGCCGCCCCCAGCAGACTCCACATGGCCCAGCACTACCAGAACGCGCCAGTCCCCGGCACGGCTATAAACGGCACGCTGGGAAAGGGAAGAAAGGACGCCGGCCCAGAGAGACACCGAAGGCCACCGACGAACTGCGCGGAGGAAACCTCGAACTTTTCTGGCTTCTCCTTCGTCTCCTTTCCACCCCCCCTCCTCTCCTCTTTTTCGGGGGGGGACGACGACGACACTATTTTTGTACAGAGAGGAACTGGGTAGGGCAAAACAAACAAACAGAAATCACACCCCCAAATCCAAAACCCACCGAGGAACTTGTATAGATCTCTCCCCCACCCCCCATCCCGTCCTGTCTTGTGAGAAGGGATCCGACTCCACCAAACCGGTTTGCTTTTTCTGGTTTTCTTTTCCCCATGAAAGTTCCGAAGGTTTTCGGAAAGTTTTTTTGTTGTTGTTCTGGCTCGTTTGTTTATTTTAAAGTCTTTGACCAATAATCTTTAGAGCTAGTCTCCAGAAAGGGACGTAGGAAAGGGCGAAGGGGGGAGAAAAGGGAGGCAGAGCGGGGGAGGGGGCGGGCAGGGAAATGTTTTAATATTTGCAAGCGACTTTTGTACAGTATTTATCAAAAATAAACAAGGCAATCGAAATGTCCATTGTTTATATTAAAAAAGACAGAGAGAGAGTTAAAAAAAACCCTTGAGGATTTGCCAATTATTTTTTAAAAAATACATCGGAGTCTACTTAAGACGCTGGGGTAATAGCAGATGGGTTTATACGGCTGCACATGCGCAAAAAAAAGGGGGGGTCTGATTTTTATTTTAAAACCAAGATCTGGGCGTTTTGAATTGATTTTGCAATTGTACAAAAGGCAAAAAAAAATAGAATAAGTTCTTGCATACCATTGAACTCTTTTTTATATAAAAGGGCAAAAGTTTAGGGTGTACTAAATTTTTTACACGTTGTTAAAGAGCAAAAAGAAAAATGTCTTGCAGCTTCACAAGAGTTTGTTAATTTAAAATAGCCTCTTTTTTGTTTCAAACCTTCATCCTGTTCAGCGGGGGAGGGGGAGGGGAAACAGCAATCTGAAAAATTATTGTGTTTGAAATATTTTCTTATGGTTTGTAATATTTCTGTAAATTTATTGTGAACGATATTTTAAGGGTTTTTTTTTGTCCCTCCTCATTTCCCGTAGTTGTATTTGAAAGACTCGGCTATGTATTCTCTGAAAATCAGTCCGCCGGCAGTCCATGGAGATATATACAGGCACATGCGTGTATGCGTGTGTCCCCACGCGCACACATACTCGCCTATGTCTGTCTATATCCACCAACCTATATATTTGAACTAATACCATCCTTATAAACAGATTCATATTCGAATTAAGTTTTTATTTCATTATGCACAGTTTGAGAAAAAAAATAAATTTTTGAAATATGGACCCTGGAGTGACACTTTGAGTCTTCGATTTATTATTGTTATTATGACCACTATTATGTTCCTTGCAAGCAGCATGCAATTGTATTTTTTTAAGAGAGAGCAACCAATCAACCCGTGCTGATCAAGGATTGATTATGAAGTAATCGGATATTAAAAATAAGAGCCTTTGGCATGACTTGAAACTCTGTTTTGGTTTTGGAAAGGCCGGGTTCCCTGCCGGTTCAGCTTCTCTAACGTGAACTCTTTTGCCATTCGACGAAGCCGCCTTCTCCTGGGGCCAACCGAGCTGGTGGCGAGCGAGACGAGGGGTGTTGCATTGTATTTTGGGAGGGATACATGACCCCTGAGCGTCGGCGGGGGTTCCGGAAGACCACCACTTGTTGCCCGCCCGAGGCTGACCGAGATCCCGGGCTCTTGACCGGAGCGGAGAGGAGGAAGGCCCCAGACCAGGCCTGCGCTCGCCGCCTTTCGTCCCCCTCCGGGCGATCGATCTCCCTTGGAACACGAGGCGTATGTAGGAAGAAAACGGGCCCTTTGGGTTGCGCGCTGGGGGGGGGGGTTGTCTTTGTAACGTCACAGGTGCCAGTGAGTTCAATGTTATTATGAATCGGAATGACGGTCTTTAACCCTAGGCTTTTCACCAAAGCTCTCTCTCGACTCCTAGCTCGTCCGGCACCCGGCGAGGTGTGGCAGCCAGGCCACTTTTGGGGGACCAGCAGCGAAAGCCGAACCCTCCTCCTCCTCCTCCTCCCCACCCCCACAAGCCAAAAAAAAGGGAAAGGGAAGCCCGGCGCCGGCACGAAGAGCACCACCGTCTCGCAGAGGTAGATCCCCTTTAACTTTCTACCCTTCTTCTTGCGTTCCCTTTCCCGAATTTGTGGCGTCTCGGTTCGTACCTCCAATGCTCCCGGCCCGGTTGGGAAGGGCCATTGAACTCAGTGGGACTTTAGGCTGGGAGTTAAGCTCCCAGGCTAAAGCAGTCGGGCTTACTTCCGTGTAAAAGCGTGTTTTTCAATCGGGGCGTTACTCTTCCGAGGAGCCGTGGGGGGGGGGGGGGGGGGGGAAGGCCCTGTCCTCTGCTCCCCTCAGTTCCCTTATTAGGGGAAAGAGGTTTACATTGAAATCCAGGGAACCGGGTTCTAAGAAACGGCGTGGAGCTCAGGAGTGCGGTGTGTCTTAAGCGCCAGAGGAATCAAGCGGGACTGTGGAGTCACAGTTAGGCCTTCTCCCCGGGAAGCCTGGAAGGCCGGCCTGGTATCCCCCGTGGACCCGTTTCCCACGTGCGTAACGCTCCACGGGCTGAACCCAGAGCCACAGCTAAGGGGTTTCCCCATCCGGAACCGATCCTGTGGCTAAAGATCTGTCCCGCCTTTGCCGACCAGAACTGTTGGGAAGGAGGGGGAACAGGAGCAGGCCTCTCGAGTCAAAACAAAAACGGTCCCTTAGTGCAGGGCGGGTCTGTGTGTGTGTTTGCTTGTTTCGAACCTCGACAGTTTACTGGCAACGCAGCCGGTAGCTGGACAGGCGCTTCGCTTGGCTTTGGGAGGAACTTCCTTTCCGTCACAGATCCCGAACGTGATTAGGCGGACTGGCTTTCCTGCAGTCGCGTTTGCGGCCGAAGGGCGCGGGGAAAAGGCCGGAGCGCGCCAGCCTGAAACCGGTTCTCTCCCTCCCTTGTCAATGTGTGCGTCCAAGCGGGAGTGCGTCCCTAGCCGGATCCCGTCCCACTTCCTTGGAAGTAAATCCCACCGAAGTCAGTCGAATATTTGCCTCTAAAATGGCAGACTGGGAGGATCGTAGATCGGAATTTAGGGTCGTTTTGGCCTTTCATAGAAACCTTTGTGGGCCTCAAGCTTTTAATACAGGTTTCCATGAGATCGATCCTGAACTCATCTGTGCCGGCGCCATGTCCTCTCTCTCGTCTCTCCATAGCGATCAGTTCGTTTTCCCACACTAGGCCGGATTCTGACAGCCAGGGGGGATTATTATTTAGGATTTCAAGCCTCCCCCCCACCCTTCCCTTCCCTCCACGCTCCCTGAATGAATGCAAAAGAATCCTGCAAGGAATTGCCTGCTGCCTCGTTAATGCAACCGAGAGGGATTAGCCAAGAGCTCCCCCTCCTTCGCCCACATTTCCAAGTTCCTCAAAGGCCACTTTCCAAAATTATGTCTCCCTCCCACTGGCGATTTCGAAAATATGACTGTATTTTTTTTAACGGAATTTTTATGTGTAGGCAAAAGGGGAAAGGGAGGGGGGGGGGTTGAATCGGGCTCAGAAATTGTGCGGGGCGGAGGTGTCTACTGAACCTTCACAAATATACCCCGAGCTGAGAAGGTAGCTGCAGTCAAAGCAAAGATACTAAATTGATTTAGCAGCTCCCCTGCGCCCGACCCCCCCCCCCAATTTGGAACGTGGCCGAGATTTGTATTTATTCTCTCTAAACGGGCAAGGGGCTGTTATGAACAGAATGCGTTCGGAGAGCGTCTTTCTCCGGCTCAGGAGACATTCGCAGTAAAATGAGACGGTTATAAATGCAAATCAGGATAGTTATTTAAAAAAAAATCCGCCCTAGCCAAGAGAATACAGATCCATACCAGGACAGGCCCTTTGCTCTTTTCGGCCCTCCGCTCTCTGGTTCTCTTTCGCTTTATTCTGCGCGGTCTGTGGTCCTGTTTTGGGGGGATTTGGGGGGGGGCAGGTCTCCCCCTATTCTTGCCCTCAAAAACCAGCGCGTTGGTCGCAGGTTGGGTGGCACAGACGGCTTGTCGCGTTGCCCTAAGCTTCGCCTCAGGGGGGAAAACCCCCAAAAAGCAAAAAAAAAAGGGGGGGACCAGGACCGTGGATAAAGATTAGAAGATCCCCTGTGATCCCCCCCTCCTTTTCCACCCATGGCGTTTTAAGGACCGGGTGTTGAAATATTTTGCTGACCTGGAGAGGTAGATTAACCGGGTTTCTTGGCAAGCCGGCGGGGCTGGTATTACAGCCCGTCCCAAGGGGCAACGGTTCGAATTAACCACTAAATGAATATTTGACAAGGGCTCGTTTGGGGGGGGTGGTGGTATCATTACTACAAACGGGTCCCTATTGGACTTCGCAAGGGTCAGAGAGCAATGGTTCAATTAATTATTTAGACTGCTAGTAGATTTGGTTGTAATAGCTGTACTTATTCCTCCCAGCGACACATTCTTGCGGTACGGCGATCTCGGGAGAAATCTCTCTCTCCCCCCCCCCCTTCTTCGCGCTTTCCATCAAGCTCTGAGCACAAACCCGAGGCAGAGGAAGGCGAGCTGGGAGCCAAGTCCAGACGGGGGCGGGGGAGGGGGGAGAGGAGAGCGAGCGCGCGGCCTGGATCTGGACAGGAAACCCAGTTCCTCTTTTCAGGTGCCTCCGAATTCGTCTCCCCCACCTGGGGCCCGAATGGCGACGGTGCTGCGCTAGTTGAAGAGTCGCACCTTGGGCCGGTAGATCTGTCTTTACCTGCGCCGTAGGGGAGCCCTGGTCGCTCTAGCTGTCGACCTTTGAAATGCAGGAACACAAATAGGTATTCAGCCATACAGGTATTCCAGCTATGGAGGTATATGTCAAGATATGAATTAGTTGCATAAAGATTTTTAGATAGATAGATAGATAGATAGATAGATATCGGGGGATTTTGGAACACAGGGCATTGAATGCATGATGTAATTAGCATAGCTTAATGGATCCGGTTCTAGATACATAGCGATAGATATATTCTAGATATATACCCGCGTCTAGAAACCCAGATCACGAACTGGCTGTTTCCCAAAGTGAGGCGAAAAGTATTTTAACTGGTTCTTGATCCCGGGAGCTGCATTCTCGCTCCACTTCTGCCCGTTTGCTTGCATCCAGATTTGGTTTGTGGGTTGCGGGTCGAGCTTCTCCCACGTCGAGGGCGCAGGCCGAGGGTTCCGAACAACCTCGATCCGGCGCCTGTCCGCTTGGATCCCGAGGGATCCCTCCCTCCCCCATCGAGCGCGCGCGGGATCGCGGCCCCGGTGGCCAGTCTCTTCTGATGAAGTAGCAATGGGACTCCTCGCTCAGACGACGGCTCTTCTGTGAGCCACAACTTTCCAGGGGTGTTTTGGTGTGAGGGGCAAAGAGGAGGGCCGGTGTGTTACAGGGGCTTTGCTTCTCTGGGGAAGGATCACTAAGAGGGGGCTTTGCCCCCCACAGTCGCTTCCCTTCCCCGCCTCGGGTTTGATTCTCTGCGTTCGGCGACATTCGGTGAAGTTTTGCTTCATTTCTGCCAGGAAAGAATTGGTCGCTAGGAAAGTAGTGGCGGGTGTCGTTAACTGCGATTTGAAGGGGCGATGGGGTGACCATAATATAAGTGGGATGAATGCGAGAGAGAACCTGCAAAGGAAGAGGGGAAGTGTGGCTGCGGGCGTGTGTGCCGGAGCAGTCCTTAGAAGCCCGTTTCCTTCAGCTTTCCCGGACTTTTGTCGGGGGGGCGGACGGTCTGGGAGCTGCCAGTTTTCTCACGTCAAAAAGAACTGATCAGCGCCTCAGGGGGACAAGCAGGGCCGTTTAGCTGCGCGGCGACGGGGTCTCAATTGAAGGCTCTGGCGAGATGGGAATTAAACAGGCTTTTCTGTGCGTGCCCCGGGTTTACTTTTTCGGTGGCTGACCCTTCGGAGCTCCCTCTTGCCAGGCTGAAGTTTGCGTGCGGTTCGATCCCTCCACTCGTTAGCATCTCAGCTGTTTTAGATTAAAAATAGCAATGAAAATCAATTTCCCTCCCGATGTTCCACGGGAGAATCTCAGGAGCAAAATAATAAGATTGCTCTTTTGCTCCTGAAGGACCAGTGTCGTCTTGTAAACAGATGAGCCCAGCTGCTATCGTATGCCTTCCTTCCTTCCCTCCTTCCTTCCTTCCTTCCTTCCTTCCTTCCTTCCTTCCTTCCTTCCTTCCTTCCTTCCTTCCTTCCTTCCTTCCAACATGCAGGACAGCACTGAGGGAAAAGGCCATTGAGGAACGAACCCTGGTCGATTTCCCCTGTAAAGTTCACTTGTAGCCGTGAAGTTCTGAAATTGACCAGCGGTGCTCCTTAATTTTGCTTTCAGGTAAAAGAGTAGATTTTGTCCAAATAGGAGCGGGCTAGAAGGTTGTTTGTTTTTTTTTTAAATGTTGCTCATAGTTTGTATTTTCATTTTTGTTTTAGATGCCTCTTCTTTCCTTCCCCTCTCCTCCCAACTCTGCTACAGACCTAGAGCCTTTTGGGCATCGATCGGTTGAATTCATTAAAGGGGGAAAAATAGTAATAAGCTGATAGACTTTATGGATTTCTGAATTGTCAGTGTGCTGCAGTTCACATCCAACTCAGAGAATTTCCCAAGTAGTTGGGATTGTAGCGCCCCTTCCCCCCTCCAAATACTTCGAGGGCATAATTCTTTCTAATGTGGGGAAGAAAATTGCACTCTCTGCGCACATAATCTTCAGGGTTAGAGCCTTTTTATTAAAAAGAAATCAGATGGGTGATTTAATTAGAGATACTTATCTTTTGAGTATTTTGCATAACAGGCTCATAGAGTTTGTGAGGTGCAATACAGATAGGATAAACTCTAGCAGCCAGTTAGTGCATAATGCATTGGGCGCGAGGGGGGGGGGCACTCTGGTCTCTGACACATCCTGAGATCTCTCGCGCTGGTATTGTGGCTGTTGCATTTCTCTGCCTTATTGGCTAGTTTCCTTCCTTATTTTCCTTCAGTCAGAAACCCTTGATTTCCCCCCTTCCTGTAACTCTGTCTTATTTTTCTCTAAAGGATTGCTTGGGATAAAACCAGCTCCGTGCTGTCCTTCCGAAGTGACGGCGTGTACACGGTTGTCCCTGTGCTCTGTAGGGAAAACGCCACGTGTGAAGCTGCCCTTGAGGGCACGCTTTGGAAGCGGGGAACGGGGCAACATATTAACCAGGGGATGAAGGTGAACCTTTTGAAGGATTCGCGCATGAGCTTGCAGGTTCAAGTACCCTTTGATTTGCAGGGTGGGCCGTAGCTCCAGTTTGGGGAAAGGCTGTCTTTCCGAACAGATGGCAACTGCCCCCTGACGACCTTGCTATCTTCCGTGCTATATCGATGCCTTGCTTGAGAGAAAGGTGTATGTGGTGTTTGTGAATGCAGAGCCGACGCGTTTGGTGGAGTGGGGATGTGGCCACTGGCTTCACCGGGTTGGGGAGATATGTCCTTACCAGCACAATTCGCATCCCAGTCATTGGAGACCTCCCTCCCCAGACCCAAATCCTGCCACACCGGCAGTGTATTGCTGTTTCGGGACATGGGCAGTCTCTGGCCACCTTGGCACCCTGCGCGTAAAACATTTACACAGCGCGCAGAATTGCTTGCTGCTGCCCCAGCTACGACCTGTGGAAGCCCTGGTCCATTGTCAACACCTTTTTAGACCGCCTATGCAAAGCCGGCTTACTTGGACGCAAGTCACATTTTTGTGGTTTGTTACCGAATGAGCCTACTCAGGACTGCAATCAGTAGGGTCAGCGCAGGAAGACCGAGGAGCTTCAGTCCTGCTCCAAGGCTTTCTGGATCGGGCTCCGATGCCAAAGGCAGTTTTGCATGACCTTCAGACACCATATCCTGCAGGTCATGAACAGGTGGAAACCTTCAGCATCGTACTCTGAAGAGTCCTCCTGGGCTCGGAGGGGCTACACTTTTTCTCTGTGAGGTGATAGCATCAATGTGCGCTACTTCGGTTTTGTAGCAGCTGCGCATGCCTCGCGCGTTCTTTTAGCGAATTCAGTGCAGGCGACGTGAACCGAGTGGAGAGAAAGTTCAGAGGCCCCTGAGGTCACCAGCCAAACCCTTGCTCGAGCCCCAGTCAGGACAAATAGGCACCCATCACAGTGCACTCAAAACCAGGTGGCCCCGAAGAAATGCGTTTCCCCCCTCCCGAGAGAAATCACCCATACTTCTCTGGCTCTCCCAGTGCCCATTTGCTTGCCCTCTATGGGAAGTTACACCTATTGGTTTTAATCCTCTCCCTCTTCGAACAGGGGTCCCTCAAGGGAGGGAGTCTAGCTCAGTGGGGAGTCTGGCGGGCATGCAGAAGTGTTGTGACTTAAAAAGTATCCCGACAAGAAGTACCCAGGTTCAATAGGGAACACAGGCGATGTGATAAACCTCTGTCAGAGACTCTGGAGAGCCGCTGCCGGTCTGAGTGGACAATACTGTGCTCTGACGGACCAAGGGTCTGATTTGGTATAAGGCAGCTGCATCTATCTGGTGGACAAGAGAAGGTTAGGCTGCCCTCGGGTCCTGCTGCCTGGAAACCCTTGAGAGTTAAGAAGGGCACTCTGAGATTCTAGCTTTGGGGATGCCTTCCCTTTCCTCGTAGCCCAGTTAAGTACTCTGGGAAGCGAGGGTTCTGCGTCCCAAACGTGTCTGGGCAGAGGAACTGGGGGGGGGGTCGACAGTCTCTGGGCGGCAGGTCCGCCTTCCATTCCCTCCCCCCCTGCCCTTGTACTTGGTCTGTCCAGAGAGGCCGCTGGAGTGCAGGTCCCACCGAGCTGAGTGTGGGACTTGCGTAGGTGTGCGGAGGACAGAAGCCTTTCCGGAGTTTCCTCTGAGGGCTGAAGGATGGGGCGCTGTCTTGGAGATGCAACTTGGGTGTCAGCCCGAAAACGCCTTGGGGGAGAAGTGGGTGGGCAGCAGAGTTGGAGTCCAAGTGGAGGAACCTGGGGAGATAGAGAGGAAGCTCTTGGGGCAACCCCTGGATAGATCAAGATGAGGAGCCGTGTTAGTCTGTCTGTAGCAGGAGAAAAGAGCAAGAGTCCAGCAGGACCTTAAAGACGAACAAAATGGGTGGCAGGGGAGGAGCTTTCCTGAGTCACGGCTCACTTCTTCAGAGACCGCTGTGTGAGACAGGAGGCTGGACTAGATGGACTATTAGTCTGATCCAGCTGGGCTCTTCTTATGTTCTTATGAAGGCCTCGGCCTCTCTGCCCTGTTGTTGGCCCTCCAGAGGAACTGGTTGGCCACTGTGTGAGACAGGATGCTGGACTAGAGGGACCACTGGTCTGATCCAGCAGGGCTCTTCTGAGGTTCTTATGAAGGCCTCGGCCTCTCTGCCCTGCTGTTGGCCCTCCAGAGGAACTTGTTGGCCACTGTGTGAGACAGGAGGCTGGACGAGAAGGACCACTGGTCTGATCCAGCAGGGCTCTTCTGGTGTTCTTATGGGGGCCTCAGCCTCTCTGCCCTGTTGTTGGCCATCCAGAGGAACTTGTTGGCCACTGTGTGAGACAGGAGGCTGGACAAGTTGGACTATTAGTCTGATCCAGCTGGGCTCTTCTTACTTTCTTCAGAGGAACTATTTGGCCACTGTGTGAGACAGGATGCTGGACTAGACGGACCCTCACTGGTCTGATTCAGCAGGGCTCTTCTGATGTTCTCATCTCCCACTCTGCGTTCCTTCTGACTCTACCCGTTTCCTTTTGAGGCAGGATCAAGCAAGCCCTTCAGCTCCAGGCCGGGCCTGGACTGGGGAGGTCCTCTGCTCGGTATGCACATCTGGACTACAAATGTGGCACCGAAACCGCCTTGAAAAAAAAGACGCCTTTTGGGGGCCGGGGAGGGGGCGCTACCCCCATGACAACACCCCCCCCCTTTGGGTCCCAGCTGAGAAGCTCTGAGCTCTCCCAGCCCTGGTGAAAAGCGGATCCCCTCCCTCCCCCTTAAGCTCTTACAAATTACAAACATTTGCAGACAGGAGAGAAATAATTCATGTATTAAAACAAGCGGCAAATTCCTCCGGAGGGGCCTTATCACCCTCCGCCACGCTCCCTCCGTCCCCTCCTCCTATGCTAATACCCTCGTGACGTCAGCACCGCGCCATTGAGTGGGGAATCTATTATGAAATTGTTAGGTTGGTGTTTGTTTTTTTCTTTCAAGAAGATCAACAATCTTTGGGCTTTCTTGGAATCGCACGAGGAGCGACTGGCAGTGAAACGGCTCTGAATCGACTACTATTTATATTCTTATTAAACACACACACATGCAGGAGCGC